TCATTCAATCTTTCAAGGATTTTAGAGGAATAATATTGATTATTCAAAGGGCAAATTAATAAATACTTGGGCTCCTTTTAAAATAAGATTTTATTGGGGCATGCAAGTGAAAGACATCTAATTACAAAATGGCCGATGTATATATAAATGCAAATGGTTGCATTTTAGGTTAAGTTTTTATTTTGTTCACTCAAAAGAAAAACAATCTCTCTCTTTTAGGGTTTGGCCACTTTCTCACTCTCTCAAGGTGGTGTTAAAGTGTGGAGGATTCATCCTTTTGAATCTTGGCTTCATCAACTTAAGCAACGGAGAAGGTATAATGTTTTCAAGCTTTGTTTAAATTTTTTTTTGAATCCTATTAATCCAACCCTTTCATGCTTTCAATCTACATTTTCCGCCATCTCTTCATGGTTCTCTTTCATCTTCCCCTGTAACTGTTGTTCGTACCACCAACTTAGGACTTGCCAAGGTGCCCGCTGGCCGCGAGCTTCCCTCTCCTGCTGTTCTTGCCTCATGAGTGTCCATTGCTCTTAAAGTCTGAAAATGTGTGACATGTAGAGGTGACTCAATCTCCATACACATTGCCTCGTACGACAACTTAAAAGAGTAAAAGAAATCCTAAAAACCCTAAAAATTCTTAAGGATGGTTTTCTTTAGGATCTGTGCCCTAAGTTTCTATTTTTAAAGCTGTTTCTTTTCAAACACTACCCAAGAATGTTCATTGTCCAAACCCATTAGATGTCTCTCACCAACATCATCTCTTCCGAATATTATTTTTGAGCCTTATTCCCTGAAAACACAACAAAAATACCTGTGATCTCAAAAAGTGCGTTTATGAAACATTTAAGTTAATTCATGCGAATTAATCCTAATTTCCCACAAATGATACCTATAAACCACTAAGTATAAGTGTATTTTCAAACACTTATCATAACCCCCGACTAGCTTCTTGCTAGTCCCTAGCAAGCTAAGCGATAAAAATATGTCTTCTAGATTGAAAATTAAAATAAAATAAACATAAATCTAATCTACCCCAAATCACTTCCGTAGATTGTCATGGTTGCATTTAGCGTATGCAACAAGCCTTTAAACCCCTAGGTGGCCCTAGTTGAATGAGTTGTAGTCTCGTGAGGGTTTCCAGCGATGATAGCCACAAACATCCATACTAAACCTAACCTAGACTCGAAAATTAAAAACAAACAAACAAAACATTAGTCTCCGGATATACATTCGTCTCAAAAATTGCATACAACACATAACATAAAGAATAGTTAAACATCACCCAAGCCCAAAGGTAACTCAAAAATCAATTTCATTTTCATTATCAACTCTCACACATCAATCATTCCACAAACCCGTTAATCTCAAAACCCGGATGATCACATGCACAAACTTCACAAACAAAGAATTGATCTCAAAATTTTAAAAATATAATATAATGTATAGAATCAAATTCCATAGGCTCACTTTTCAAACTACTCTCCACTAATGTAGAATGATCACACTACCTCGGATCAATAGGTCTTTATTAAGCTTGTTACGTTAGGCTAGGTTATGAGGTTATGAAAGAACGGAAAAGATAAGCAAAAATAAGAGACTCAATCCTATTTCTTTCAAACACTTTCATTCAAGCACCACCATTCTTCTTTACACCCCACTTTTTCCACCCTTTATCAAAAATAATTTCATTGCATCATTTATACTTTGCAATGTTTCTCAATAAATTTCCTTTTTTCTTTCTTTCTTTCTTCTCTATTTTTCTTTTCTTCTTTTTTTTTTTTTTTCAATTTTTTTTTTCATTCAAAAGAAAGAAAAGAAAGGTAAAAATGCTACCCCAACTCTTGATTAAAAAGCACTCCACAACCCCCAACCTATTCTTTTGAGCACATTTGGAATAAATTGACAATTTTCACAAACCTTCACCCTCACTTCTTTAATTGCTCTCACCAATCTTGTGCTTAGATTAAGTCTCTTAAAAATTAAAGGGTAGGAATGTGTTTTTGGCTCAAAATAATGGTGGGTTAATGTAGGTTACATGAAAGAAAATCAAGGCTAAATGTGTTTAATAATGGCTCAAAGGGGTAACTAGCAATAATTTAAATAAAGGGTTGGCTTGAAAGGCTCAAACGATCCAAAGATAGCCTAAATCATATCCTAAGTAATGTGCATTCTAGGATCTGGCCTCAAGTAGTTATCAAGTGAGTTCTAGAATTTGTTGAGATCGCAAAAATGTCTATGAAAATTCATACATAATAAAGTTTCGTATTGCATTGCTTAATTTCCCAATAGGCTCTATGCTCTAATTCAACGGGAAGGTGACATGTTTTACCATAAACCATTCGGAATGGGGACGTTCCAATTGGTGTCTTATATGCTATCCTATACACCCACAATGCGTTGTCAAGTCACAAGCTCCAATCTTTCCTATTTGGATTCACGGTTTTCTCTAAGATGGACTTGATTTCCTGATTAGAGACTTCGGCTTGTCCACTCGTTTGTGGGTGGTATGGCGTAGAGATCTTGTGGGTGACTTATATTTCTTCAAGGTAGCCCAAAATGCACGGTTGCAAAAATGAGTGCCCCCGTTACTAATTATGGCTCTAGGTGTTCCAAACCTTGCAAAAATGTTAGATTTTACAAAATCTACAACAACTTTAGAATCATTAGTCTGGGTGGCCTTTGCTTCTACCCATTTAGATACATAATCAATAGCAAGTAAGATATAAAAGTAACCATAAGAAGATGGAAAGGGTCCCATGAAATCAATACCCCATACATAAAAAATCTCAACAAATAAAATCGGATTTTTGGGCATTTGATTTCTTGGGCCTAAATTACCTGAGCGTTGACATCTATCACATGTTTTGCAAAAACAATATGCGTCTTTAAAGAGTGTAGGCCAATAGAATCCACTCTCAAGAACCTTGCTGTCCTCTTCGCTCCGAAGTGTCCTCCACATGCATATGAATGGCAAAAAATTAAAATTGAATTAAATTCACTTTCAGAAACACACCTTCTTATGATTTGGTTGGGGCAATATTTCCAAAGATATGGATCATCCCACATGTATTGCTTGGCGATCTTCTTCAGTTTGTCCTTGCTAGCACGCGACATGTTGGGTGGGGTTTTCTTGGTCACTATGTAATTTACTATATTTGCATACCATGGTCCCGAGGATGTCATTGCAAGTAATTGTTCATCCGAAAAATCATCTTTCAATGGAAAAGCATCTTCTTGGTTTATCAACCTACTTAAATGGTCTGCTACAATGTTCTCACTCCCTCTTTTGTCTTTGATTGTTAGGTTGAACTCTTGTAGCAGTAGAATCCACCTTATAAACCTTGGTTTAGCCTCCTTCTTCGTAAGCAAATACCTAAGAATTACATGGTCAGAAAAAACAATAACTTTAGTGCCAATTAGATAGGAACGAAACTTTTCTAATGCAAAAATAACCGCCAAAAGTTCTTTCTCAGTCGTAAAGTAGTTAAGTTGAGCGTCATTCAATGTTCTTGAAGCATAATAAATGGCATGTGGTAACTTTCCAACTTGTTGTCCTAACACGGCTCCAATAGTATAATTGCTTGCGTCGCACATCAACTTGAATGGAAGACTCCAATCGGGTGGCTGAATAATTAGGGCTGTGTTTAGGAGTTCTTTTAGTGTCTCAATTGCCTTTATACAATCTTCATTGAACTCAAACGCTACGTCTTTTTGTAACAAACAGCATAAGGGCCTTGCGATCTTAGAGAAATCCTTGATAAATCTCCTATAAAATCTTGCATGTCCAAGAAAAGAACGTACCTCTCTCACACAAGTGGGAAGTGGTAAGGAACATACAAGATCTATTTTAGCTTTATCAACTTTAATCCCCCTAGATGAGATAATATGCCCTAAAACTATCCCTTGATTTACCATAAAATGACATTTTTCCCAATTTAAAACGAGATTAGTTTCTATGCATCTTTTAAGAACTAATGTCAAATTACCCAAACAATTATCAAATGAGTTCCCATGGACACTAAAATCATCCATAAATACCTCTATAATGTTCTCCATGTAATCAGAGAAAATACTTACCATGCACTTTTGAAAGGTGGCAAGTGCATTACAAAGGCCAAATGGCATGCGTCGATAAGCAAAAGTGCCAAAGGGGCATGTAAATGTTGTATTCTCTTGATCTTCCAGTGCAATCACAATTTGATTATAACTTGAAAATCCATCAAGAAAACAGTAGTGAGAATGGCCCGTTAAACGTTCAAGCATTTGATCGATAAATGGAAGAGGAAAATGATCTTTGCGCATTGTGGCATTGAGCTTGTAGTAGTCTATGCACACTCGCCATCCTGTTTGAATAAGTGGTAACTAAGTCATTATCTTCATTCTTTGCCACGATTATTCTAGATTTCTTAGGAACTACTTGGACCGGACTAACCCATTTACTGTTCGAAATTGGGTAGATCACACCGACATCTAACAACTTGATTATTTTCTTCTTCACTACTTCCATCATTGGTGGATTCAACCGTCTTTGCGCTTCTCTTGTAGGCTTCGATCCATCCTCTAATAATATGCAGTGCATGCACATGGAAGGACTTATTCCTTTAATGTTAGCAATCGTCCAACTAATTGTCGTTTTGTACTCTTTGCAACACACGAACAAGTTTCTCTTCTTGCACCTTTGAAAGGTTGGCTGCTACAATCACGGGCAATGTGTCTCCTTCTCCTAAGTATAAATACTTGAGATAACTTGGTAAAGGCTTAAGCTCTAAGGTAGCGGCTTGCACAATGGAAGGTAAAAGTTTCTCATTAGATATGGGAAGAGAAATATAGGAGATTTCATGCCTTGGATTTTTCTTTGGAAGCTCATCCAACATTGCTATAGTTTCATTTAACTCTTCTCCCAACTCTACACCTTCATTAAAACTTTGAGGTTCCTCGGTTGACAACCCATTCCATATTGCCACTTCCAATGGATCTTTACCCTTAAGCTTGAACATTTGCTATGTTAAAGAGTAAAGTACATCAATGGAAAAGCAATCATTGTCATCATTAGGATACCTCATTGCGTCAAAGATGTTAAATTGAATTACTTCCTCATCAAACTCCATGTCAACGTCCCATTATGCACATATATTTTCGTACAGGCTGTTTTCATGAATGGTCTTCCCAAAAGAATTGGCGTGGTTTTCACAGTTGTTTCATCTTTCATGTCAAGCACGTAGAAATCCACTGGAAAAAAAAGCTCATTTACCTGCACCAAAACATCTTCCACAACCCCCTTTGGATAGGCATTAGATCAATCAATGAGTTGAATAACTACGCCGGTCTCTTTAAGAGTACCAAGATTTAAATCAAGATAAATTGAGTAAGCATGACATTAATAGAAGCACCTAAGTCTAACATTGCTTTCTCAAACCTTGTGTTGCCTATGATGCATGGTATGGTGAAACTACATGGATCTTTGCACTTTGTTGGAAGCTTCCTTTGCAAAACCGCTGAGACATTTTCTCCCATGCTCACCACCTCATTTCCCTTAAGTTTTCTCTTGTTGGTGCACAATTCTTTAAGAAATTTCGCATAACACGACACTTGCTTTATGGCATCCAACAAAGGAATGTTGACATGTACTTTTCTAAAAGTGTCCAAAATTTCTTGTTCATGTTCCTCCTTCTTTCATGTGGCAAACCTGCTAGGAAAAGGCAAAGGAGGTTTGTAAGTATTAATAGGAACTTTAGATTGTACCTTTGGTGGATGTTTTGCATTAGAAGAATCGGTTGGCAAATTTTCTGCACTTTTAGGCTGCTTTGTTCCACCTTGAATCAACTCATCTCCAACTTCTCTCTCATCATTTGGCTTCTTGTGAGTCTTCTCAAGTTGTCTACCACTTCTCAAAGTAATGGCACTAGCATTCTCCCTAGGGTTAACCAAAGGTTGGGAAGGAAGCTTTCCGGACCCATGCACATCTAATCTTCCAAGAGTAGTAGCCAATTGACTAACTTGGCTTTCCAAATTCTTGATTGACATTTTTGTTTCTTGTTGGAACTTGAGATTCTCTTGCTGAAATTGAAGAGAGCTAGTTGCTAATGAGTTTACCAAGTCCTCCAAAGACTTACCTTGAGGTTGGGAAACATTTTGGGGTCTTGCTTGGTACGGTTGTGGAGCTGGTGGGTAAGGGAAACCAGGTGGATTATTAGTGACAACAGCTTGTTGATTTCCTCCATAGCTAAGATTAAGGTGATCCGTCCATCCTGGATTATAGGTATTGGAAAATGGATCATACCTTTGCCTTTGTTGTCCTTGGTATCCTCCCATGGCATTTGCTTGTTTTGCATTTGTCTCTTGAAGGGTAGGACACATATCGGTAGGATGTCCCACATTGGAGCAAATTCCACATGTCTTCACTTGTCCAATTGCAATTTGTTGCACAAGTGCAGTCAAATTATTCAATTGTTGCTCAAGATTATTGGATATCCCCACTTCATTTACCTTCCTTGGTGGTGGATCGGATCGAGTACCAAATTGTTGAGAGTTTGCCGCCATGGTTGCAATTAAGTTCCTTGCTTCTGTAGGAGTTTTATCAACTAACGCTCCTCCACTTGCTGCATCTATCATGCTCCTCTCCATTGGCATCAATCCCTCATAAAAATATTGGAGAAGTAATTGCTCACTTATTTGATGATGCGGACAGCTAGCACACAATTTCTTAAACCTTTCCCAATATTCATATAAGTTTTCCCCATTGTATTGCCGAATCCCACAAATTTCTTTCCTAATGAGTGTGGCTCGAGATGCTGGAAAATACTTCTCCAGGAACAACCTCTTCATCTCATTCCAAGTAGTTATGGTCTCGGATGGTAGGTAATAAAGCCATTCCTTAGCGCTATTTGCTAAAGAAAATGGGAACGCCCTTAACTTCACTTGTTCCTCAGTTGTTCCATTTGGTTTCATACTCGAGCACACCACATGGAACTCCTTAAGGTGCTTGTTTGGATCCTCTCCCGCTAAACCTCTGAAAATTGGTAGAAGATGAATCGTCCTAGATTTAAGCTCAAAAGCTCCCCTTGTCGTATCATTGTATTGAATGCATAAAGGTTGTTGGTCAATGGTTGGTGCAGCCATCTCTTTGAGATTTAGATTAGCCATCTCCTCTTGATCAGAAAAATTAGAATAATCACTTGTGAGTGGAAGATCGGTATGGATTGCTTGATCGAGAGTCGATTTATGCAAAGGTTTTTTTCGAATGAGCAATAGGTGGAATTAGATCAGAATGCAGATTCGATCTCAAATTGTATCGCGAGCTCATTCACCAAAAACACCTACAACTCAAAAACAAAGAACAAATAAAAACTGAAAAATAAACAAAAGGTAAACAAATAATTAAGTTAATGAAATTCCCCGGCAATGGCGCCAAAAATTGATGCATGCAAATGCAAAACCTAATTTTACCTCACTAAATTCTAATGCAAAGTCGTGTAGTAGCAAAGAGCAAGTAAGTGTCTTTCCCGCAGAGGATTTGTGAACTTAATTAATTATCTACTTCTAACGGGATTTGTCACGAATTATAAAAACTCAACAAAAACTAAAAAAAAAAAAAAAAAAACTCAAAGCAAACAATGTAAATCAAGCAACTAATAACGAAAGAGAAATCAACGAGATAAACGAGATTGAAGGTTTATTCGCCACCACTAGACACGAACTGCATATAATAAAAGCACTCTTTTACTTTCTACCCTTTTGATCACATTAGCTTAGAAAATACCAAACGTTGATAAGTCCCATCTCTCCTTACTAAGTCATTGGACTAGACACGGTCATAACCCAATCCCTTATTTATTAAATAACCTAGGATACGATCTCTAGATTTAGAGTAATAAAAGTGTTAAGTTGCGAGAGACCTATTGAATCAAGGCTAAACTAATATGGTCGGTTTAGTTAGCTTGAGTGATTATCTCCCATGTATGCAGGCATACACTTTACCACTAGTTATTTAGGTTAATAAAGTGATTCCGTACTAAACAACCAAAATTGGCATTAATAGATTATTCCTAACGATTTAATTGGCCACTTAAACAATTAGAAAAATCTAGTTAGACCCTATTTTCAAAGAAATAATCACATAACTAAGAGGGATCAAAAGATAAAAAGATGCGAATTTTATTAAACACAAGACATGTCTAGGGTTTTGAAATCACCCTCAATCACAAAGGAATTACTTCTTCATGAATAAATATGAGAACATCATTGTATTACTCATAACAAATAATAATAACAAAGAAGAAGAAAAACTTAGTGAAACTTGATTGGATTAATGAAGTTGATGATGATCTCCTCCAATTCTTCTTCTCCAAGCCTTTTTTAATCTCTCTTTTTCTTCAGTTCTTGAATATCATTGTTCTCTCTTTTTTTATCTCTAAAAGGATTCTCCCAAAATAATGCTAAAAGACTTCTATCTATATCCCACAAGGGTTAGGGTTTTGTTTTCCTTAATTCTAGTTGGTTTAGGACTCTTAATCCTATTCTCCTACCTAAAAATGGATAATCAGTTTTTAACTTCTGTGACTGTGCCCTGGCACTGTTCCGTGGCACAGTAGCTACTGGAAAAAGTGTGTCGCTACACAGTAGCTACTGGTCTTCTTCCCGCATCATTCCATAGTTCTTCAAAGATGGTGATTTTTGAACTTGATAACGATGCAATTTGGAAAAGTGGAAAACATATGAAATGTAGCCCTTTCAATCAGCTTTCCAACAGTCCAAGAAGCTTCTTAATATTAGTTCCAAAGCTCAAGATATTCTCAAAATACCGAGGCATGCTAAAGCTAGAACGCAATCTAGAATCTTCTCTTTACTTCAACTTCTATAACTTCTTCAATTCAACTCTGATTCTCAATCCATTTGTTTCAAGTCATTAAAAATTCTCTCGCCAACATCACCTCTCATCTGAATATTGTTTTTGAGCCTTATTCCTTGAAAACACAACAAAAATACCCGTGATCCGAAAAGTGCGTTTATGAAACATTTAAGTTAATTCATGCGAATTGATCCTAATTTCCCACAAATGATACCTATAAACCATTAAGTATAAGTGTATTTTCAAGCACTTATCACTTGGAATGGGTGTAGGGTTTATAGGGAAGAAGGTGACGTTTGGTTTTTTTTATATGCGACGATTGGGCGAGACGCGTTTCTAGCCATTGATTGTGACCACGTGTCGTCAATCTACATGAAGAGTTACTGTCATAGTTTGTGGAAATCAATTGGTGTTTCCCTTCATTGAAATCGCCAAGCGACGACGTGATTATCTGCTCCATATTAAATGCGCTCTCATCCGCATTTAATGCCTTAAAAAAGAATGTCGTTTCAGCATGGCTTGCATTTAATGCTCATGGCTGGCACTTATTGCGCAGAGACACCTCTGTCAGATAAAGCTTATTTTATTGACTAAGACAACTATTAAGCGCAACGGATAACATCTGAAGAGATCGTTCGAATAAAACACTCTTCTTCATGTGTCAAGCTCGAAGCGAAGTGATTCTCAATTTTCGATAGCAAAATATCCAAGTGTTTTTAGGTCACGAATGATACATAAAGTTCAAAACACGTTGGTATAGCATTGAGTAGGATCCGACATAGGTCGTTGAACCTTTTTGGATCACCTCAAGTTGCTTGTGTAACACTTGAAGATCCATGTCGTGACTTCTACTCAATTAGCAAGTTGGGTTAAGCCAACAACCTCATGTCGTTTTGGTTATTCTCAACTGTTAGTTGGGTAGGTACTCCTCGGGACAATTTAGATTGTGGCATAATCATGCAGTTCTCAAGATTCAATTCTTGAACCTTAAGAACTGGGGAGCTTTTGTTATGCCTAAAAAATCAAGGCTGATGTAAGCCTACATCAGCTAACTCCAATCAGAGTTTAGGAAGGCTTTGTACCGTCCAGGAGCTGCCTTGTCACCCCAAGACAGAGAGAATACGATTATCATCAACTTGACAGATTCAGGTTTTGTCTATGATGTTTGAGTAGATGCCCTAGAGCCAATCAATTATTGTAGAATTGACTCTTTGTAATAATGTTCATTAATCAATAAAAGGCATTTTATTCTATATCGCGTAAATCATTATTATTGCAATATGTATTGATATATATCCTTAGAATGGTAGAATTGTGATGAGGGTATCAAGAGTTTCAAATCTTGATAGTAAGAAACCTGTGAGCGCATATGGTGGCCATTCTAGAAACGTTCGTAGCCCCAATATTATTCTGAAGTAAGGGCACAGATAATACGGTAAGGCTATCATAGTGTTGAACGACCTTGTCGAAAGGTAGTGACTGATCTCACTTGTCAAGGTTGTTTGGTGACAACCTGGTGCAACACATGGGTGCTTGCTATAGGCGAATACACCGCAGCAAGTTCACTGGACTGACCCACCAGAGGATTCCCTATGGATGGTAACCCCAGTGTCTATGGAACAAATCCTCTAACGAAGGGTGGTGCATGTGATCCGTAGACTTGAGATCATTGGAGCACCTTGTGCATCGATTGGTTCAGTTTGACACTAGCCTAACGCAGTTTTATTCAGAGCTGTCAATACGGTGGTGATTGACAGTGTATCAAGACTATGGTGGATAGAAAGAGGATTCATCACTCCCGGGTACGGGAGAAGTTATCTCACGGCGTAATTCAGTATATGGCAATGACACTAAAACTGTGGTCACAGTAGGATTGAGTTGTTGCTCTATCCGGATTATAACACAGGTCATTGGTCCAGTAACTAAATACATCATATCGAGAGTAACCGAAGGTTGATATTATTTCTATGCCTTCGTCTCGTCGAGATAACGTATGATGAAAGGATCGAATTGTACGGTAATCATATCATTGACAGGTAGCTACTTTGTTGAATCTGAATCTATCGGGTGGCCATGATGCCTTACTAGGGGCCAATCTTGGTTTGTGTATTAGTGAGACGATTAATTGGTATAAATCGCAATACTATACACTACCGGTATGATGAGGAGCCTATGGGTCACACACATAGAAGATAATTTAAGACTCAGGAAGTAAGAAGGGCGTTTTCATCTTTTTAGGTGAAAGGGTATTTTGGTAATTTCACAGTGCAATTAAATTTGCTGAGGTTGTAGCCTTTTATTTAATTAGTTAGAAAAATTAAATAAGTGAAATTATATTTAAATATGTGTTAGCATATATTTAAATAAATTATCATTATTGTTAAATGTTAATACATATATATATTAAATATATATTAATTGATTTTAATTGAGATAATGATGAATTAAAATAAATATTTAATTGGGAGTGTTTGGAAACAAGGGGTGTTTGGGTTGGAGCCCAAGCCTATTCCATATAGGAATAAGGCAATTAAATTTTACTATAAAAGAAAAAGGGTATTTGTAAAAGGCAAGAGTTATTTCATTCACTCACTATTCATCAAAAGAGAAAACACATAGCCCCCAAAACTCTCTCCCACGCCAGTTTCAGTTTTAATTGAAAATCAAAATACTCTTCATTTCTTCTTGTTTCTTAAGGCTAAAGAGGATCTAGCAAATCCCTCTTTAGTTCCTTGCGATTGTCTTCGTATAGACTTCATTGGTTCGATCCTACACTTGGGTCGATAGCAAAATACATTCAGAGACAACTTGGAGGAGCCTCCAAACGTGCGTATGATTTCTTAAACTTTAGATTAATTTTCTGCAGATTCTTATTTTGATATAAACTGTAAAATTGTACCCTGATCTTGGTTCTATGGAATGATCCTTGTTACTATTGTTTTTATTTTCTGCTGTCTCAATTGATCGTTTCCTAACATATGAGTGAATGGGAGTCACACATTTGTCCAAGCCCCAAGTAACTTGAGGATATATCCTAAGTTATCAGCCAATGGGAGGCGAGGGAGGACTTGCATGACACCTATCCACTTGCAAATTTGTAATCATTACCTTGAATTTCTCTACTATAAATAGAGGACTCCCCCTATCATTTTTGGGATTCTGATACAAAAAACCCTCATTCTGATTGTAATCTATATTCTCAAAGCAAAGATAACCTACGAGAAACAGACTAACTTGATATTCTATCTGAATAATCAGTTATTGTACTTCTGCTTGCTATTCACTATACACAACT